ATAGACAAGCCTTTATTTGGGCATTTTTAATCATGACAGAAGAGAAAGAAGATCTGACAAAACATTCTCTCCCTCTCTTAACATTTTAGCTTTAAAGAGACCTAGGCCACTTCTACTTCCATTTCATTAACTACAGAAAACTGTATAGCCAAACTCAACAGCAATTGGATGAGGAAATGGTTTTCCTGCTCAGGAAGGAGCAGAAAATATCTGGGAATAATAATAATACAGTCCCACACAATATAGATATGCTTTTATTTATTTGACTTCTTGGATCTGGAGATTGTAATCTGTTATCACCTCTAATATACCCTCTGCAAATCTTCAAATATTTTCTCTCTCTACCATTCTTCCCTACTCATGGAACTTTGCTTAGTGGGATGCTGGACTTCCTGAAACCTCTTTGTAACGAACTCTTTTATTTTTATATATGTTTACTCTTTATACTGCATTCTAAAATTATCATTAAATAAATACACATTCAAGTTCACTCGCCTCCTCTTTAGCTGTGTTTAGGATCCTATTCTTTTATTGACTATCCTTAAATTCTTACTGTGCATATTTGACTTAGTATAGGTACACATTAATCAATATGTCTGTTTTCCTCCCAAACAGCACAAGGGACTTAGAATGCCTTAGTCTATCTTCCATTGTAATTTTTTTTTTTTTTCCATTGTAATTTTTGACTGGTATGTTAGTTCTCCTTTGTATTTGAAGCTCCAAATTTGTTTTTATAATCATTAAATTGTTATTATATTTCACATATTAGCAATTTCTTTTTTCACTATAGCTCTTTTCTGTGTCTAGTTTCTTTCTTAATGAATTTCATTCTTTAGTGATTCTTTCAGCAAAATGTTGTATTAAGTCTGCCTTGTATTAAATATCTTTATTTTACCCTCACTATTGAAGGATACTTTAGTTTGACAGTTATTTTCTCTCAGTATATTTTTTTCCGGCACTCAATTTTTGCTAATGGGAGGTTTGCTGTCAAATTATAATTCTTGTGATTTATTGTTTGTAATTTGTGATTTATCACTACTCATTTTAATATTTTTATCTTCATCTTTGTTGGTGTACAGTTTTTCTATAATATATCTCAGTGTCTTCTTATTGATCAGCACTTAAATTGTTTCTACAATCTGAAGGATTATTTATTGGTCTGAAAAAAAATCATCTATTTTGCTTTTCTATTTTATCTGTTTCTTCTCTAGAACCTCCATTAGATAGATGTTTCCTTTGTCTTAGTCTACCTTTGACATCTCAACCTCTAGATTTTCAACCTCTTTGGGCTTTTCGGTTTTGTTTTTTCTGTGCTCAACCAACTGGAAGAGAAGACAGATTCTTTCAGAGCAAATAGGACATTTTCTTTCTTTTTTTTTTTAAGATTTTATTTATTTATTTGACACAGAGAGAGATCATAAGTAGGCAAGAGGTAGGCGGGGGGTGGGGGGGTAGGGGAAGTGAGCTCCTTGCTGAGCAGAGAGCCTGGTGTGGGGTTCGATCTCAGGACCCTGGGATCATGACCTGAGCTGAAGGCAGAGGCTTAACCCACTGAGCCACCCAGGTGCCCCTAAATGGGACATTTTCAAAGAAGTTATAAACAGATGCAAATAAATACAACACAAACTGACTGCTTAACTTTGTAGAAACTAAAAAAAGCTTTCTGTATCGTATAAATTACGAAAAATCTTTTCAATGGCAAAGGACAAAAAAAAGTTTTTTCAGGTAAAAATGTAAAAACAAACATTCCTAAACATTAAATGCAAATCACTTTGAGAGTTCCCCTTTGATGAGTGCTCTCTCGTTAAAACCAAAAATAAGTATTCCATGTGTTTTTTCTTTAGTTTGTTAAGAAAAAGTCTAACATGGTAATGGTGAAGTCAAACATAGAGGTTTATAAAAGATAAAAATGATCTAAGAATATAACTAAGCTTTGTGGTTTTCTACCTAGATTTATGACTTCTTACTGTTCTCTCATCATGTACCCAGAAATAAGAAGGAAATGATAACAAATATAGTTTGGGGAAGTCCATTTCACTCAGCCCTGTAATCATTCCTGCACTAATCACTGTGCTTCCAAATGGAGATCCCGACCAGACTGCTCTGCCTGATCACCTGAGCCTTTCCTTTACAGCTCTGCCATCTCACTGTCCTCCCTTTGACCAAGACATCTCATTAGATCAGTCTCCACGATCCTGCAAGAGGACTGCTTTCCAAGAGAAAATATGGGTACCAAGAGAAAATATGGGTACGTTTAAACCTTTGACCTTTAATCCTGAAAAATAGCAAAAACAAGAAAGTTTTTCTCTGAACCAGAAAAACTGCAATCGTTAGTGGCTAATGTTGTGTGTGAGAGATGGAGCCACAGTTGGAAAATTCTGTTCAGCTAAGAGAAAACAAAGGTCAAGATAATTGTCTGTGGAAGGGGCTCCTGGGTGGCTCAGTGGGTTAAGATATTGTCTGTGGATAAATAACTCTGGGAACTGTAGAAGATGTCCTACTTTATGTGAAATAGTTTTCAAGCAAACCTGCTGGAATGCTCACTGTAATAAATACATTACCAAGCTTGTCACATAGCTACCACTAATTCTTCTTTTTCTTAGCATTATTAAAAACTATAGCAAGCATTGGGGAGGATCCATGGTCATCAAGATCACAAATGGTTCCTGTGCTAAACACACCCAACTGGATTGAGAGCAGAAATTACCCCTAAAGAAAGAAAAGAGAAAGCTACACCCCTATATAGTGGGCTATGTAATTAATTTTTATAGACTCCAGAGCTAAGTATCCTGAAATAAATTTCTTCACCTTCCAATAATATCAAAACCAACTTTTCCAACTAAATGATCATTTTCCTCTTCTTTGGTTTGACAGGGGAGAGGTGATCTTGAAACCACATAAACGATGCATTTATTCAGAGTTAGATCTCAAGATAGCTTACTAACATTTAGATTGTTTCCTCTTTTTAAAGACTTGGGGAATAAGCGTGCCCTTGCAACACAACAAAGAAAGGATCTAAGGGAGCATCATTTAAAATGATATTATATATTTTTTAAAATCGTCATTCATTACTTAGCCATTTGAAAACTCCAAATTCTTCTTCTCACTAAATGCCCATAGAAATTATGTCTTCATTCTACCCCTGTACATCTATGAGGGACCTGGCAGCTGGTTTCAGTGGAAGATAAGAATAACCCCAGTTAATGTGCTCTGAGGGCAGAGATGATAACAAAACAGGCCCTGAGCCTGAAAATTCATTGTCTTCATACCTCCCTGATTCAAAAAGAAGCTCATGGCCCTTCTACCTTCTCCCCTCCCTACTCCAACAGCCTTGGTAAGAAAGATGGTGGAGTGACCCTTCCTCTTAGGGTTTCCCTCATAAATGTAAGAAGTGTGGGAATGGAAGAACCAAAAATCGCATTCCACAGTCTTAGCCCTGATAAGCAGCACTGGGAAGGCAGGAGAAAAATAGGACTTCAACAAATAGTCCTTTACTGGGCAAAAACTATCCCGAGATAACCCTATTCTAAACTGCTCAGTTACACTAATCCAGGAATTTAAGAGAAACAAAAACATTAGCACTGATTACAGCATCAGTAGACTATGTAGCAAACTGTATAGTGAAGCTCTCCCGGAAGAATGCCATCTCTCTCATTGATACAGACAAGCCTGGAAAATAGCTTTGGCATTTTAATGCTAGTGCCTTCTAAAGTTCCAGATGACAGCTGCATAGCCAACGTTTTAAAGTGATCAGAAAACTCGTGCTACACAATGGTCACAGCTGGGCCCATCGATCAAACTGTTTTTTCTCAAATGAGATTCAGTAGTTGTTAGATAATTAAACAGTGCATGTTCTGGACTTCAGAATTTTAGCCATGGGAGCTAGATCTGGAAGAAAGTAAAACTGGAAAGCTTTCTCTGTTGTTTTAGCCTAAGCTGAAGATTTTTAAGTCCCTGCATGATTCTAGGACGTATTTACCAGTGTCTACATTCAGAACTGTGCAGTAGACTTGTGATCAGCTCCATTGGTCACGAAATTGGAGAGCATTTAAATGTTTTGGGTTGAATTAAAATACTAATATTCACAGTTGTGAAATCAGAGTGTGCAGTATGAGTGAGAATGGCTTCTTTCTTTCCAAGCAGAGTCCAAGCTGGAGTAGGGTAGAAAGGGAAGCTCTTGGCCCTTGACCTCAGTTGCACTACTTTGCATGTATGGGCAATTTGTCAGACAAGATTATTTTCCCTGGAAGATACAGAAACCCTGATTGTCATGGTTCAAATCATGACTATTTTTTTTTAATTTGATGCAAAAGCATTTCAAAGCGAAGGTAGCTCCAAGATCAGTACAATCAGAGCTTCAGTTCTATTTCCATGAGGTTTTTCTTGGCTCTGCATTTCCTATCTTATTTTGTTTCTAGCTAACACTTATTTATACTATCTGCATGCCAGACTTGGTTTGTGTGTCTTAGTTATGTTTTAATTCACGTATTCCTCTCAGTAGTCCTCTGAGGTAGACCCTCTTGTTATTCTTACTTTTTTTTCAAACGAGAGAATTTTAGATTCATGTTAACTCATTTATCCTCAAAAGATTCCATGAAATAGGCACTGTCATTACCTATTTTACAGAGGAGGGAAAGGAGGCACAGAGAGGTCAACCACCCAGCACAAGACTACATGGCCAGCAGCGGCAGATTTGGAAACTGAAGGCAGCATTCTGACTCCAAAGCCTCTATTCTTAACCATTACGCTGTCCATCCTCATTGTCTCCAGCCTCAGGAATTCCCTTCACACATGATCACAACTGAGGACAGAGGAGGAGTTCAGTCTCTTGTTTTTAAGACCCAGCCACCACCCTGCCCCTTGCCTGAGGCCCATTTTGTAGACTTTTACTCAGGTCTCTTTTGCCACAATTGTCAGTCACCCTTCCCCAGCCTGAGCTACCACCAGCATGGAGAAGGGGACCACCATGATGGGTTCACACTATCACGACTGGCCCAGTCATGGTGGGGTGCAGCCAGGCTCTCCTGAAGCCTCTTGGAGAAGGAACAGCACGACAACACGAGTGCTCTGCCAGCAAGGACACGGGGGACAATGGACGTGTCCTCAATAACCATCATGTCTGCTGCAATGTCCACCTTAAGGTTAGGTTCCAGGACTGTTGACATGTGGTTTGAGTACAGGAACTCTAACAGTCTTTAGCCTTAGCCCTCTCTTTGGAATTTCAAATCATAAAGTCATTATGCCAGAGATACACCCAAAAAGAAACATTCCTGGAGCAAATTCGTTCCCCTGAATACCCCCTACACCAGAAATTCATTCTTTCCTGTGACAAATGGCTGTGCTGTTGAAAACTTCCTATGTGCTATTTTTCTGGTTCTAGAAATACAGTGGTGAACACACAGATTCAGTCAATTTTGTGGAATTTACATCGTAGTAGAGGAAAGACTCATATAATATGTAAATAAACATTATAATTATCAGGTGACACACTAGAGAGTAACCGGAGTGAGATAGGAGATATTTCAGATAGGGTGGTCAAGTCCTAAATAACAATGAAGCACAAAAAGTGGTATCTTTACAGTATTTCTTATCAGGGTTGTGAGGTTGGCCTGTCTCACTCCAAATCTCAGCACTGCCACGTCCGTACATGTCCCTCACAGCCTTGTGCTTCCGGTCCCTCAACTGTGTAATTGGGAGAAGTCATAAGTTCATTGGCAGGATCAAATGAGTTAGTACACTTCACAAAGCATGTGCTATGGAGTGACTGGGGCATTGGGGCGGCTCAGTAAATGTTAGGTGTTGTTGCCACCTCAGAAATAGTAGTCCAGGTACAGGTAAGAGCAGGTTATGCTTAGTAGGAGTGATGCCACTGGGCAGCAAAAACCAAGGTGGGGATAGTAGGGACAAGGAGCTAAGCGACCACGAGAGCATGGTATGAAATGAGGTCTGACAGGAGCCAGGGACCAGACCACTCCTATCAGCAACTCCTAAGTCTGGCTCTATATAGAGATTACCTTAGGATGAAGTAAATCAGATGTTAGAAGTTCAGGTGTTAGATTCTGAGGTTCAGCCAAAGAGGAAAATCACTGATGTGACTTTTGCAAGTTAAAGAAAGGAGCTTGAATTTTATTCTAAGAGAAAAGCCAAGCCATTGGAATGTTTGTAGTGTCCTGCCCACTTCCTCCCTCAATCTCATTTCTGCATATCAAGTTCTCAACTATCTTTCAAGGATGTCACATTCTCTTAGACTGGAAGATTCCTATGACAATCTCTCCTCCCTCTGGGCACTCCAAAACTTTCTTCTTTACCTCATGGTAACAAAGAATTTCACAGATTGTGTTGTGCTGTGTGTGTCTTTTATTCCCACTAGGAAGGAAATCCTTCAGCAAAAGAAACCATGTCTCCTAAAACAATGTCTTGTACATTAAGATACAAAGAGGTATTTTTAAAGAATGATTTAAAGGCTTTGCTTAGAAACAACTGCTTAGACTAAGAGCTGAAGTTCTAACAAAGCAACGATCCAAATGTTAGGCACTAGAATACAAAGAGATCAAAGATGGTTTCATCAAGTTAGAGCTGTGTGTTAAAATTGGGAACACACAGAATGTCATGATGCAGTTAGAGACAGAAGGACAAAGTAAGTGTGATTTCACCCAGCAAGTGAAGTGAAGTAATATATACATAAAGTACATGAATTTCTAGGTTTCATATCATCGTGGTACCCAAGAGCGATGAATTCAATTTTGGAGCAATTTCCAAAGTATCAAGAAAAATGGTGGAAAACTGGGATCCCTCAATTTAGACTGATTGAAACAGAACTGCCTGAAGGCCTAAGTGTGCATTCTACTTCACCAATAAAACTCCACCTCGTTTTATGTGCACAATTTATGTTTATTTATCAAATATCATTTGATTGTCATGGCTGTGGTGGACACCCAGTTTGTCACAAGTTTACAAATGGATGACTATTAAAGAGAAAAGTAGACTAAAATTAGCTTCTGGGGCTCCTAAAGTGTTTTGCAATAAAGAAGAAGAAATTAGGTTGTCTGTCTAACAAATAGAAGTGAACTCCATATGGAACAAAGGCAGGCACTTTACATGGGAACTTACCTTGAACAGCAGTCTACAAACAAAATAAAAGTTAAAAATGTCCTTGTCAGTTCAGGGCTGGGAGAGCATTTAAATGTCTGGCCAACTCTAGTTCACATTGTGATATATAGTTCTCTTGGGTACAGACTGTCAAACTGAGTTAGTGTCAATGAAAGAAAATGGGAGATGGACTTTCAGATGTTCTCATTCAGCTAAAAAGAAAAATACAGTTCAAAGAGCTTCTACCCACTGAGCTTTTCAAATAACCACTCAGGAGGATGGACATAGTGCTTGGAACAGAAGGCTCATAGGAACAGTAAGAGAACTTAATATCTGTCATCATTTTTATAAAATGAATCCAGGTGATTGCTTCTCAAAAGTGCAAATAGATAACCTCAAAAGAGTAATTAGGTGGTAAAGATAATATAGTCACACAGTTCACATGGTCACTTAACTGGTGAAGTGAATTTAAAATAGATGCTTTTAAGCAGGTTTCATCAAACTCGCTTTGCATCAACCAACCCATGCTTTCTCTTCCCTCAACCAGCCATTGTTGGCTATAGCCTGTGACCTTCTCAACTTCACCTTCTACATACATGAGATCAGGAACAGTACCACACGTGGCCTTAGAGTCGACAGCAGGGTCACTCAAGATATTCTAGGTAGGATTTCTGTAACTTCTTTTTCCTCTGGATGCACAGCAAAACCTAGACTTATTCTGTGAGGTAAAATGCACATGGAAAACTTAGACTGAAGTGTTCTTAAGTTCAATTTTATACAAACTATCCTTGTATATATTGTTCACTGATAACATGAAGTCACCTTCCATTTGCCCAAGGTAGACAATGGTACAGTATTTGGCAGCTAAATATTTTGAGCTATCTCTCTTTGGATGGTCCTCTGGTCAACAGTGTAATATTAGAACATCCCCACCTTTATCAACAAAGCAGAGTTTGTGTGATCTGAACTTCTGCTTTGTAAAAATAGACTAGAAAACAAAAGAGAGATGATGCTTGTTATAAGGAGTATAGTCTCACAAACTTAACGAGGATGGATGGGATTATTCCTCAATGAGCTCACTCATCTGGTCCTTAAATTAACCAACCAGGAGTACAACTTTGAAAGCAGAGCTCAAAGTGTGGGACATATGCATGTAAGAAATACATCTTTGAAGTTGTATCTTGAAACTTCTAGACACAATTAGACACAATCTAGACACAAATTTTATTTACTTTTTTTCTTGTCTCCAGTGCAGCCATCTGCATTAATTAAACCTTTAAATTTATGATATATTATTAATACAGACGGTATAGGTCTTTTCTCTCTCTCTCTCTCTCTCTTTTTTTTATGAATCTCTCTCTCCTGCGTTGATAAGAGATTAAAGCTTTGCCTACTGCCATGAGACTGACTATTCACTGATTGAAATGAATATCAAGTTACTGAAATCACTATAGAGATGCGATTGGAAAAAAATAAGCTCTAAATGGTTATCAATATTAAGACTATGAGCCTATGAGTTCTTACAGTATGAAACTGTTGAATAACTACAGTGTAAGAAGAAATGTCCTTGAGTGGTTTCCAAGGAGGAAGATATTAAAATACAGGATGAAGAAGAGGCATTTGATATAATTCAGCCCTAGCTCTAATGATAAAACTAATGACTTTAAGTAGATTTTGGGCCAAACATGAATGTACTAGTGAGATTTAATCAAATACTAAGCACAGGGACAAATTGGGAAATTATCTAATGCAGGGGAGCCAAAGGAACAGAGGAATACCAGAAAATTTCATTGGAGATTTTAGGATCTTAGAATTCTTAAGATGGGAAAATCTGAGTAAATCACTTAGTCAAGCGCTTGCCTTCAGACTTGTTCTCTTAAAATCTCCAGTACCGAACATTTTTGAAAAGGCTGTCTTCTGTGCCTCACCCTTCATCTTGTCTCTTCTTTTCCCACCGTTCACTCTTCAAAATGGAAATTGCAACATGACCTCAGAAATCCAAACCAGAGCAAACAACCCCCCAAACCCCTCGTCATTCAAAGTGAAAATGTGTCAAGAGGGAAGGTTTGAGTCAAATCCAGATGGCGATGTGCCATGAAAGGCTAACAGAGCTCTTCATTTTCAGCAGAGAGCAGGAACAGGCAGTGTTTATAATGACGTGTTAACATCTGTCTGTGAATATCATCTCCATAGCACCAAAGTACACCGCCCAAACAAAGGAAATTCACAATAAAAGCAAGACTCTGCACATTCTTAATAGGGAATTAGTACTAGAACTGCCAAAGACTCATCGTATACATTTGACAAATAGAGGTAAAGTATATCATACCTCAAAGAATGACTTCTATACTAGATCAGACATAAACATGAAAGCAGATGCCAAGGACTTTTTAATATGGAGCATGTCTAGCAGCCCACCTCGGTTGGTGGCAGTGGAGAACAGTAGACTAAATATGGCATTAACATCATATTTACCCACATGTAATCCTAGATCCACGATTCCTTCTGTGTATGGTCCCTGGGTAAGTCACTTAATGTCTGTCAGCATCAATTTCACTATTTAAAGGAGGAAACAGTGAGCTCCCTGTAAGAATAAGTAAGAGATATAGACTCTTTGAAAACTACCTACCAGTTAATGTGTGCTCTGTAAATGTTGGTTTTCTTTCTGCTCTCCTTATAAAATAGTCTCCGTTACTTTGATCTAAATTCACAGTTGCTTGGGGGCGCCTGGGTGGCTCAGCGGGTTAAAGCCTCTGCTTTCAGCTCAGGTCATGATCCCAGGGTCCTGGGATCGAGCCCCACATTGGGGGTCTCTGCTCAGCAGGGAGCCTGCTTCCTCTCTCTCTCTCTCTCTGCCTGCCTCTCTGCCTACTTGTGATCTCTGTCAAATAAATAAATGAAATCTTCAAAAAAAAAAAAAAATTCACAGTTGCTCATTTGTTGTAAAATTCACAGTTGCTCATTTAGCCTTGAACCATAAAAGAGCTTTATTTTTCTTTTCTAGTCGCTACTTTTGGTCCTGCTCATTTGAATCCCTTTTCTCAACCTTGAG